TCCAGTGTTGACATTTGATTGTAAATAGTAATTAAAAAAACATCAATAAAAGTTTACTTTAAAGGCTGATGCTACAAAAGCAGGTTTAGATACTGTAAGGGGAAAGAAAGACTGCCATTTATTAAATTGTCCCTTTTTTGAGGATCAATATTATTATTAAAGTATTTTCTTGTCTGATTTTATCACAAAAGTGACATCCATGTTGACCAGTGGTCAGATACAAATGCTTTTTGAGGTGGGGCTATTTTTCTTTCACATTCCGGCCAAGAACCCCAGTATTCACTTTTTGAACTGAGGACATTGTTTTGCGAATGTACGCCTTTTTTAGGTTAGAATGTTTTGTATATTTGTGTGTATTTATTTTTTATGTGGAGAATGTTACCTACACACAATACTCCACTGGACAAATAATGTTTTCCAGAAAAGTTTTCAAGGTATGGCAGCATTGGATGCCTCAAATCTTATTGACAAATCTTCTCCAAATAACTTAAATAAACATTATTTGATTTGATCTCTTTTTAAGTTTGGGCGTGAGTGCGCATTTGCACATTTTACTAGTCCCAGCTACTTAATAGATTTCTGATCCTGCATCATGTATGATAAAAATACAGAGAATGTTGTGACATTATTATATGACACAACTCTGTTTTTTTATTGTTGAAATTGACCAGTGAGGCAGAGAAGTCAACGGAGAAATGATATTGTTGTTTTACTCTAACCAGATGTTAAATCCAGAAATCACACACTTTTTAGGGCCTAGTCAATGCACTAGATTCCAAAAGAATTCAGTTACAGCTGTAGACATTGTTGTAGTGAAATGCCAAAAAAGCCATAATTTCATAAATGTTTTCCATTGTATACAAAATGACGTCTCTTTGGTGTTTATTTTATAAGTATTAGATCAAATTTAACATTGCAGAAATGATGAGATACTGATTCATTCATTACCAGCTAATTGTATTTTCAACTACTTAAATGTTCATTATAATTCACAAATGGTTATTGTGGAAGCTACTCTAGGTGAATTGCAGCAACAGCATAGCATTTAAACAAACTCACCCCAATCCAGTGAGGTATTGTTTTTAATTAGACAGTCGGTTGACATATAGTATGGAAATTGACGAGAGAAATTGGATATCTACCGGTTAAAAAACTAACTTGTGCTACTAAGCTTCCCTTTTTCTTAAAAAAGCTGTAAAAACTACATTTGTTGATATTTTACAGTAAATTAGCATAAATATTCCAAACGTGTTTTCTTTCTCAGTTGAACCGAAAATGATTGCACTGTGTAGAAAGTTAGCAACCTGCAGGAAATGACAGAGGGCAGACCAGTGCGGGGGAAGAGAAAGATCAGTAAAGACCAGTGGTGTGTCGATACACAATATTGGGTTCACGAAAACACGACTTTTTTACACTATTTTCAAGAAATCTTCAATGACAAAATATATGAATGGAATATGAGGTGAAGATCCAAACACTGTATATGTATATTCCTTTCAGTTTTATTCGACTAAAAGTCACAAAATGCAAAACATGCAGGTGCAACCATAATCAAAGTAGTACTCAATACTAAAACTTGCAAAGTTTGTGTGATGGCAGTTGTAGCAGTTTCTGCTTGGACATCAACACTGCGGTAGCTGATAGAAACGCTCTCCTCTCCTTTTCTCTCCTCAATGCTAATGGCATCTCACCTGTCTCCACCGGCACGGCAGCTGTTGGCGTTGTCCTAAATGCTCCTATGCACAATCTCAAAGCAGGTGCCTGGACCCTATCTAAACACTGTAACACAGTCTTAGCTGCTGACCCGTAAACAAAACTCCCATAATCCACCACCGACCTTTTCAATGCCTGCCTGTCTGCCCCCCATTCATATCCTACCACTGTCCTCATAAGGTTCAACACCCTTCTACATTTTCCCTCCAACACCACATGATTCCTCCACGTCAACCTCTCATCAAAAGACATACCCAAGTACTTAAGAGCTGTCACCCTGCCTATAGACTGTCCATATATCCATATCCTGAACCTTCCTTTCAGAATACACCATGATGCACAACTTATTTACTGACATCCGAAACCCCCATTTCTTTGACCATTCCTCCACATTACATATTTCACATCTCGTCCTCTTTTCCAGATTGCCCCATCATCTGCATACAATAATGCTACCCCTATCCCCTGCCCTACGTCTCTAAATATATCATCAATCATTATGGTAAACAGCACCAAGCTCACCACACAACCCTGAGGCGTCCCATTCTCCACCTCAAACTCTCCTGACATATCTGCTCCAACACAACCCGATTCACTCTCCCATTTAGAATATCTTTAATCCAGTTATATAGTCTACCCCCAATACCTATTGCATCTAACTTAATCAGCAAGCTCTCTCTCCACATTGTATCATCCAAATAGATCACACGCATACTGCCCTCATTCCTTTGATAGTCCTCCAGATTACTCTCTGTCAACACCTTTAACCCCCCATTCCTCTCCACTCCTCTTGAGCATTCATCTGTCCACCACGGCACCACTCTGTCTCCCCCTCTCTTACTACGCCTACTGGTATTTCCACCTTAGCCGCTAAAATCATACTTGCAGTCACTGCCTTTGCACACTCTGTTACTGACCCTTCCACCCTCAGATTGCTACTGTTCCTTCACATATAAATCTATACTTCTTCCAACCGGCCTTATCAAAACACCATCTCCCGCCACACACCCTTTCCTGCCTATCCACACCATCCTCCAGTTTGCACACTATCAGATAATTATCACTCCCCAATGTAGTATCGCCTTGCACTGCCCACTCGCATCTTCCTGCTAACGAGCCAGACACTAGCATTATATCCAAACATGATTCAGTCCCTTTACCCAGATTAACTCTGGTCCCTCTCCATCATTCTAGCACACCTAACCTCTATTCTCTATTCGCTCTTCCACAACATTACCATTTGTTTGTATACTACCCCATATCACAGTATGAGCATTAAAGTCCCCACACCATATAATCTTTCCATCCTGACACCTCCCCTCAATACCTTCCAATTTGTCCCACACCAGTGGTTTACAAGAGTTTATCACACACAGACATTACTCTCTCTCATACCTACAGTAATTCCCACACATTCTGATTCCTACACAAACCTGCTAAAATACCACCCTTTCCTTAACTAAGGTAATACAACCCCCCTCCCCCCGTCCTCCTGTCCTATTGCACCTAACAGCCTTAAAACCTGGTATCACAAATGCCATCTCTGACTTAAGCCACGTTTCCTGTATACACACTACGTCAGGCACCACATCCATATCATATACTTTTAAACTCCTATCCATTAGCCATCAAACTTCTGGCATTCCATTGTAGGAACACTAACTGTAGCATTCCCAGCTCAATGACGGTCAACTCTCGAAACTGATGATTCTGAAATGTTTATTACTTCACCATTCCATTTATTCACCATAAGAGCTGATGAATAGAAATAACAAGTATTACAATTCGAAATTAAATTTCATTATTTCTATTAACAACAAAATAACAAATTCGGAGCAAACAGGTTGCTAACATGGCGCGAGATTAGCCTTCACCAATAACGATTTCACGTGATGTTACATTTCTAACAAACTCACATACTTTAGCAAATCCAGTACAATAAAATAAACAAATGTATTAATTAAGCGTTACCTTGTTCACTTATGAGCTAGGTGATAACTTTGTTGTAGTTTTAGCTGTCTCGAAAAACACCTTATCATGAATCCTTTTATCCTCACTGAGTGATATACTGATTTTGTAGGGGGGATAAATATTTGAGGGGAGCTAAAGCCCCACTAAAATAGGCCTAGCGATGTGCCTGTTCACAATCCTTCGCTTTTTATATTTCTGTGTGGAAGAGAAGTCGTTCATGCGTTTCTGTTTGAGCTCTTTCAGTAACGGCACAAACTTCTACAACACCTGACACAAGGGCTTTTGCACAATGTCTACACTCACAGACTCATGGAAGTGTGTTCTCGCTAAGTCTGTGAGTGCTTAGGGCTGTTCCACCTTCATATTGTCAATGGCGCAAGGGCTCTCTGGCTGACATATTTCGGCCTTTTGTGCACCCTTTACGCAAGTCCGCATTTTTGCAGCAGTTTGCCTGAGGGAATTGCCCAGCGTTTACAACGTTGTGCCATGAGACATGAAGGTTACTGGGGAAGCCTAGAAGCGAGAGACAAATCACAGCAAATCATGTTAAAAATAACTTTACATATATAGTGATATAAGTATCAACACAAAGCTCAATGATGGTTCATATATTTGTCCAGCCCTCAAATCACCGGTGACTCCGGGCCTGGGTGCAAGATTTTCTTGGAAATTTCTCGGAAATATCACTGTAATCATGTGCAGCCAGTCTTGCTGTAGATGCACTGGCTTCTGACGATGAACAAACACATGATGAAAAATAATAATATTTTTATCATACACTTATTAAACCTAGGCGTATAAATGGGTGGAAAGGGCAGACATGTAAAACTGTTGCGATTAGCTCTTGGTCTCTGGCGCCCACTTGTGATGGCTTTAAGAAATAAACACTTTTCGGACCGTAGGAATTTGAAACAGATGGCTCAGAGAGACCACTAGATGACAGGCTTATTTCGTGAAGAATATCTATTAGTTAGAACTGTTAACAAATTAGCATTGTGATGTGCCTCATATCACCCCAAAAAGTACAGGCTGAAGATGAAAATGTTTTATGTTTTCCCCCATAATCTGCGCACAATAGCATTTACTGACATAGGGGCAGCATTTTCTCTGTTATAAAGTGATGACAAAAAGGCTAACTTGTTGTTGGTTTTGGTGACAAGAGTGCCCTTTATAGGCTGCATCACTCATTGATTTAAGCCACTACTTGTTACCATGGTTTAACATTTTCCTGAGAATCTACCAGTTGTGTTACGATAGAAATGTGCTAGAAATGACCGAACTTTGCGGTATTCACGTGCGGTGTTCAATTTGGAGGAGTCGGTGTAGCTTAGTGGTTGAGTTCATGCTTTGTATGTATGTCCTGGGTTCAATCCCCAGCTTCTTTATAGGTCACTGTTGGAAATTATAATGTTCTTCTTGGCCTACCTGGTTAAATAAAGGTAAAAAAATATATATTATCAAACCTCTTGTGTGAGTTGGCTCAGCCCTCCCTCATGCATCTTTAGTTCATTGTTTGACAGGAATAATTTGCCAGGCTTGAGCATTTAGGCTTATATTATTTGAATAATTTTTTTGTTTTTTGACTTCGTTAATTGAAGTTATTTACATTTTTTGATTGTTTGTGTCACACCCTGATCTCGATCACCTGTCTCGTAATTGTCTCCACGCCCCCACCAGGTGTTTCCAGGTTCCCATTATATCCTGTCTATTTATGTCGTTGTGCCCTGTTCTCTTGTGCCAGTTGGTATTGTCTTGTGTATCCAGCGTTTAGCTTCTGTATTACCGTTTTTCCTGTCTCCTTAGTACCGACTCCAAGCCTGCCCACTCCCTTGTACTTCGACCAAACGGATCCTACTGAACTCTGCCTGCCCACCACTCTGAGATCGCCCTATATTCAACATTAAAACCAGAATCAGATCCTCTGTCTCTGTGTCCGCATTTGGGTCTTGCCTGTCTGTCTAGCATAAGTTTTTTTTTATATAAATAGATCCAGCTCTTCTGATATGCGAGCCGGCTCTCAACATTCACTAACAAGAGCCGGCTCCTAGAGATATATTCAACCAATAATATGGGCTGAATGTTAGACAGACACGTTTAAGATCTTCTGAGATGGAGACCAAATAAAAATATGCCAAATAAAAAAAGTGCTTCACTCATCTGTTAAGCCTGGTCAAGACAATGTATTGTACCTTGTGGACAGCTCTTTGGAGCCGATTTATAGTCCTCCAGACCTAATGCCCAATGTCAAACAATATGCACAAAATATTTAGTTAAAGAAACATTCAGCTGGTATTCTGTTTATAATGGAGCGGCCAGGACAGTCACCGGATCTCAACCGTATTGAGCTGTTGACCCCATGGCATGTAGACCCCATGGCATGTAGACCGCATGGCATGAAGACCGCATGGCATGTAGACCCCATGGCATGTAGACCGCATGGCATGTAGACCCCATGGCATGTAGACCCCATGGCATGTAGACCCCATGGTTTGTAAGAAGTGCCCATCAAGTCAATCCGATTTGTTGAGGTTGAATTAAAATTGACAACTAAAATAGCAAAGGTCAGAGATTTTGGCAAATGAAGGATTATTTGAAGCCAATGTAGATGTGTACTGTGATACATCTAGGCAAGTCATTTGTATGATGTGTACTGTGATACATCTAGGCAAGTCATTTGTATGATGTGTACTGTGATACATCTAGGCAAGTCATTTGTATTATGTGTACTGTGATACATCTAGGCAAGTCATTTGTATTA